CCCCAAAACCCCAAAACCCCAAAACCCCAAAACCCCAAAACCCCAAAACCCCAAAACCCCGAGAAAATATTTAAAATTGAAAATTTAAATGGAAGAAAATAAAATTCAGTTGGGTAATTTTGGGTTAAAATGAAGTTTTTGCTAGAAATAGGTTTTGTTATTAAGGTTTCTGCGATGAATTAGTCTCTAATTAGCTTTAGTATGCGATCTTAATCAAAGAAAACCGAAAAGCTCAGCTTCTGATAAAAATAAACACACTAAGTTTATCAAGCCTAAGAGGAAGAAAATGAAATAAAGAGACATACTCTGATAATTATAATATGTATGGAAGGAATGCTTATAATCTGGAATTTCAAAATTTTCAAACTGAAGATAGACCATCAGATTACCTGCCTAGTAAGGTTTTTCTAGAATTTTTAGATAACCATGAAAGTTCTGATAACAGCTCAGCAATGATTAGTCCTGATTTTGGCAGAAACATGCAGCCAGAGCATGATGTGACCTCTCGAGCGAGTCAGAAGAGCAGCAAATCACTTCATAAAAGTATAAATTTAATGGAGTTACAAAAGATTGCAACTAATAGATCAAAAGAGGCTCGATCAGCTGCTTTTAATCAATATTCAGAGCCTTATAATAGTACGAACATGAGACCCATAAGCGAAGATAGTTGTGAAGAGAATGTCAGCCCACAGAAAGAAAGAGGATCTCATGCAGGATCTGGCCAAAGCCTTGAAGAAGAATATAAGCACACTCTTCATAGAACAAATTCTAGGAAATTTGATTATTATGAGGATGAATCAAGCAATGATTATCAGAAAGGAAACGAAGATATTTGCTCTGAGAATATCAATGATAGAGAAGGTAAGACATTAGCTTATTTCATAGATGGCTTCAATCCAAGCGAAGAATTCTCAGAGAACATTAGCGGTAACTAAAGTTCGTCATTCATAGATGATTCTGACACCCAAGAATGATCAATGAAGAAATTCAATATCAACCAAATTAATCTAAACAAAGGGCCATATATGGATGATTCTAAAAAGACTCCTTCAAAGCAGAAAAATACACGTAAATTCTCTCTTTTCTTCCTTTCAGCCTCTTAATGTCAAAATCTAACCGATATTAGATCGTATTGAGTCTTCATCAAAGAAAGAAATTATTGAATTCCAGGCTGATACCACTACTAAAAGTATGGAATTCTCTCAAATTTTAGGAATCTCAAATAATTTCTCAAAATCTCTGAATAAAGACCTCAATCATTCCAGCAATGAAGAAAATCTAGAGGACAGTAACACTCTTGAGAGAGAGGAAATTAAGAGAGAAAGTGCAGTTGTTGATGGCTTCGAGGAGTCAGAAGACACTATTATTAAAAATCTCCAATACGAACCCTCTGAAGAAGAATCTGGACATTTTGAGCCTCAGTTAGTTGAAAGTGAGAAAGAATCACATATTCAGACTTATATGCCTCCGAAATCTCTTCAAGGTATAGTTTTCGGCTGAAATTTTAGAAACAGAAGAATTTGAATGGCAAGAAACCCAACAGAATATTTTTCCTCCAAACCTGACAGGAACTGAAGATATGGAGGAAATCATTCAAATGGAAGAGCAAGACCTAGACAATGATGTAATTCTTGCATCTGAAGGAAATATTTCAGAAGAGGAAATCATTAAATCTGAATCAAGTCAACAGAAAGTAGACGACACACCTATTACAAGAGAGGAGGAAGAAAAAGATATCCAAGAGATCGACTATAATCCTTTTCCTGACTCAAGCAGAAGGCATACTGAGATTCTTAATAAAATATTAGACTCAGAGAAGAATCAACAGCCTTCTGGGGATAACTTTGGGTTGAGTTCCCAACAAGAAACTATTATTAATCAGAAATAAGTCATCTTCAAATGCTGATGATACAGTGATCAATTTGAGAAGTATTGATAACCCGCTTCACCAGATGTCCTTAATAGAAAAGGAGAATCAGGACTCTAATCAGTTTGACAAAGTAATAATGTTCAGTCCTTTCAGAGATTCTCAAATATCAGATCCTCTGCTCATGCCTGATCTGAGTGATCCTGTTCCTTATGATTATGTCTATCATGATAGGAACGAGGAGCCACATGAGGATTTTACACTTATGAAATCTAATCCTTCACCAGCAGACATGAATCCCCAGGGAAAGAGTTCTCCCTCTGTACCAGAAAGGGATAGTCCAGATCAAAAACTGACTCAATGAAAGACTAAAAGGATTGAGTATTTAATAGACTGTATGTACTGAATGCTCAAATAATAATGAAATATCTAGATTTTCAACTAAGATCAGATACAGAGGGGTTTTGGGGTTTTGGGGTTTTGGGGTTTTGGGGTTTTGGGG